AGCCTCATTAATGCAGTGATTGCTTGACACACAGTCGCACACTAAGTCGCACACCCGATATCCAGTCAACGGCGTTCCCTTTATATTAGTCACTCAAAAGGTTTGTTACTAAATTATGTGAATGCACAAAGATACGTCTTATTACATTATTAGTTAATTCACCTACAGTAGATATGGACCATAATTGCATATTATTGTTTATTATTGCTTAATTTTATTATGAAAAAAACTCCGTAATTGACGTTTGTTTTTTGTATTCTAGCTGATATTGCTTACGCATTTTTCTTAAAAAATGTAAATCTTCAGGCTTAAGATTCGATTCTGCACTAGCCTGCTTTTTATAACGAAGAACCGTTGCATTACGTTATATAATTCCTTAGTGGAGGCCCTCATCAGTTTCGTCTACATCTGTAGCCATCTTACTCCTAACTATACCAATGATATCTTGATCACCAAAGTGTGCCCTTCGTGGCAATTGGCTCATTAATTGATTGAACATATTTTCCATAAGCAAGGCAATTCTAAGAGCGTTTGAGTCATCATTTAGTGGGTCAATATCATCGATACAGTAGATAGTCATGTGATTTTGTCGATATCACACCCCCGCTATGTCTCCCCTTTTGTTTTGCCTTAAAATGGCGGGTTGGAGATATTAGTGTACAATGTTAATCTCCCATCCATCCAGAAACTACTCGTTTGAACATCCATTACTCCGGTAATTACTATGACAGATTAAAACAACGTCGAATAACAGTCGCATTTCGATTATTAGTATCTCACCCAGTTATATTTTACCCCGGCCCGGTTATATCCCCATTTATAAAAACAAATACAATAAGATACATTGTATAATAGGCTTCTTTCCAAAGTGAAAATACAAAATGGTCTTTTTCAAAGTTTGCACCACTGTATAACCTTTCGAACTACGAACTTTGTAATCCTCATCGTTGCAGATTGCTCTAACGTTAACAACTTATTACCAGACAAATTTGTGGAAACATTGTTCCAACTGCAACTTTACTCTTATTAATTTTACGATAAGTATATTAATTTATTCATATTAATATGATATACGCCTACTCTCTTGAGTGTCTTGTCATTCC